ATGTTCCAAGTTTCTGGCTTCTACTTTATCCCTAAACCACCCTTAAGTCAACCTGTATAAACGTCCGGAAACCCTTTACCAAGCCCCTACATTTGAACCCTACCTGGACGCTAAGACACCGAAACCCTAGCAAAAAACAGACCCCTGCAGCTCTGAGCAATCAGTTTCTGGTATGGAAAACCTGACCCCTAAACCCGATCAACCCTAAACCCTGCCTAAGTCCTAACCCCGAACCCTTAAAGGCTATAAGCCCTACATCCTAAACGCTAACCCCCCAACCCCAAATCCTAAACCCTAAATCCCTGAAGCCCTAAACCCTAAACCAAGCTAGATCTCCGCCTGCAGGGCTGCACATCCGGAAAGGCCACTAGCCTCCAGCGCCTTCGCAGCGGATATGGCAAATATAGTGTCCTAAATAATTAAAATAGGGTGTATTATACTATAACTATAATACAGAACACCACAAAACCCTATTCTAATCATTAAAGCCCCTTTATTAGACATTACCGAAACCCTAAACCTTAAACCTTAAACCCTAAACCTTAAACCCTAAACCCTAAACCCTAAACCTTAAACCCTAAACCCTAAATGGACCCCTGAGGAAAGATACCGGATTGGGACAATGAGCGGCTGTGGGGTCTGAGATTATAGGACCCCGAAAAAGCACATAAGCAAAAACTAGGATCCGGATATCCCATATAAATCCCCTTATAATGAAGCCCACTAAGGTGGGGATATCCCTATAACAAGCTTATGCTTGTGTGCTTTTTGGGTCCCTTAGTTTAGGGGAGAAGGCTCGCTGTACGGGTTTAGGGTTTAGGGTGGTTTAGGGTTTAGGGTTTAGGGATTAGGGTTTAGGGTTTAGGGTTTTCGTGGTACGGGCTTCGGGTAAGGAGGAGATTTTGGGCAAAGGGCTTTAATCTAGGGGCCTTAATCATGGGAATAGGGTTTTGGGGTAGATTATACTATAGTTGTAATAAGGAGCTCCGTGTAGCTTTGCACCAGCTTTACAACTAAACCCTAAACCCTGCACCCTAAACTCCTCAACCCTGAAATCCTCAACCCTAGACCCTAAACTCTAAACCCTAAACCCTAGACCCTGGAATCCTAAACCCGAACTACAAGTGTTAATATCCCGCAACCTTAAAGGTGCGACCCTCCAAAACCTCAAACAATCTAGGCCTCTCCAAATCGGAACCCAGAGCCACACCAACTATGCACCCCCCCAAAACCGCAATCCTACGAGTTTTGGGTTGTGGGTCTAGAGCCTTGGCTTTAAAGTTTAGGGATTAGAGTTCAGGCTTTTGGGCTTTGGGTTTAGAGTCTTGGGTTTAGGGTTTAGGGTTTTAGAGTTCAGGCTTGGGTTTCCCTAAACCCTAAACCCTAAACCCTAAACAATAAAGAGTCTTGGGTTTAGGGTTTAGGGATTAGAGCCTTCGAGGTAAACTTCAAACACTAAGTCGCGCAGCCGAGGGCTTCGGCGTCCGGTGTTGAGCATTTGGGCTCATAGGTTTAGGTTAATTGGGTTTAGGGTTTTAGGGTTTAGGTTTAGGGTTGAGGGTTTTCGGGCTTAGGGTTTAGGGGCTTAGGGTTTAGGGGCTTAGGGTTTTAGGGTTTAGGGGTTTAAACTTTAAACCTGCAACCATCTGGATGGGAGGGATCTTGCGCTTCCCTAGGTCGCCAAACTCCTCCCTGGGAGTAGGGGTCTACAAGTTGCGGTTTCAGAGCTCTCTGGCTGGTGGCAGGGCTTCGGGCTCAGGAGATTAAGGGGGTTTAAGGTTTATACTACCCTAACCTACCAAAACCCACTTTTTTTGTAGCTTCTTGTTATAAACCCGAATAAGGGATTTATAGCGACCCTACAAAAAAGTAGGTTCTGGTGGGTTTATAGGCTACAGCTCCTCTCTGATCATGATCAAGTGGCCGATCCGGCACGATTTTCCCCGCAGGGGGCAGTCACGTCTCTTTCAAAAGACTTTGAATGGAAACCAAAAGGGGCTTAGTAAGCTACTTGGGCTTGAGGTTCAAACGCGGCTCGTGTTTTGAGGTATCGAGTCCCTGCCTAGACCCAAGAGTGAAGTACCTTTTGGAATGTCCGATTCTATGTGTAGAATCCTAAAAAAAATCAAGGTAACCGTACATAAACATACATAAACCCTAGACAAACCTTGAAACCCTAGGATCCTAAACTCTTACACCTCCATCTGCCCAAACCCCGTTTGGCCTCCTACGAGACTTTACAAGGCTGCTTCCCCGTGAAAGGGGTTGTCACGGTCGAAGACCCAACTGCGTATATCACGGGCTTCGGGCAATAGGCTTCCAGGGTTGAGGGTCTAGGGTCGCCAGGGGATACTTGGAGGTTCAAGCAACTTACTAAATATGGTTATAAGTAAGGTAGCTAAAGTTGAACTCCAGTTAAGGTACTTCTAACCGTACTTCCTACATCCCCTCAACCGCTAAGTAAGGATTTGCTGGAACCTTCATAAACCATCCATTTTGGACCCTAAGCCGCTTAGGTTTTCAGCATTTCAAGGCTTTGGGTCAGATCCTTCGGCTCAGCTCCCTAAGGTTTAGGCTTTAGGGTTTAGGGTTCGGAAACCTCAAACCCTAAACCCTAAACCCTTAGGGTTCAGGGTTCAGGGTTTCACGTTCATAGGCGAAGGGTTTAGGAATAAACCCTTTGGGTGCGGGCTCTTAGGATTTAGGGCGCAAGGGCGCAAGGTGTAAACTTTTGGGGGTCTAGGACTTCAGTTAGGGTGTAAAGTGTCGTACAGTTCAGGTTTTAGGCAGGGGGTTTAGGACGTTAGGTAGGGTGTAAGGTGTAACGTTTAGGTTTTAGGTATGGGGTTTAGGACTTTAGGTTTAGGGAGGGCTTAGGGCTAGCCCGTGGCAGCCTTAAAAGCTTAAACATCCTTCGTGACAAAGTGACTGTGCAGGGAGTTTCCCCAGCAATTCAAAGGCGCCCCGTGCCAAGCTGTAGCACCAAATCTCAACAACGAACGCTTTACGAATACTTCAGTCGATGGAGGCTTTAGGTACATACTGTTATCATAAGTCATGTGGCGCTATGATGCTATGACATATGGTGACGGCTCTGCCAGATTATGTACTGCAATTATAGTCTTTTGAGCACTATGATGTAATTCTGATGCTCGAAAGGGACCGAACTCTTCATAGTCCCTACCCCGGATGGCTCTGAAGCATGCTTCCAAAGTTTGACTGAAAGACCGGTGCCAAAGATCCGGCAGCTGGACTTGATAGCTGAGGCTTGGAGCATGCTGCGACACTGAAGATATGCAAGTAAGTTCATGGTTCAGGGAGTGGGTGAATCGGGGAATGACGGCCAAGCTAAGCGTTCAAGTGCGTAATCTCAGTAAAACAAACGCCACCACCACTACCACCACCACGGCCACCACCACCACGAAAACTGCTACGACATCGACGACGACTACTACTGCTAGTGCGACCTCCAACGTTACGATTAGTGCTTATGAACCGCCGTCGTCTTACTACTGTCATCATGATCATGCTTATGATTATTACTACTACCATTACTACTACTACTACTACTACGACGACGACGACGACGACGACTACTACTACTACTACTGTACTACTACTACCACTACTACCTGAACCCTAAACCCTAAACCCTAAATCCTAAACCCTAAACCCTAGACCCTACACCCTACACCCTATAGACCCTAAACCCAAAGGCCTAAACCCTAAACTTACTACCACCGCCACCATCACCGGCACAGGGAGCCCCGGGAGCTACCTTTGGGACCGCGCATGCCTTTTGATCCACCCCCCTGGGGTTTAGGGTTTAGGGTTTAGGGCCCTAAACCCTAAACCCTAAACCCTAAACCCTAAACCGATCATAAGCCATACGCCAGCCTACCTTTGGGACTTGCAGATCCGCTCCGCTTCCGAGCTCGGCTCTTGACCCAACGCCACCTCGGCTGCCGAAGGTCCTTTAAAAGGAGGGGTTAGGGTTCCTTTCAAGGGTTCCTTGAAGGGCTCTAAAATGATCCTTTAAAAGGGCTACTATAAGGATTTAGGGTTTAGGGTTTAGGTTTAGGGTTTAGGGTTTAGGGGCACTGGTTTTAGGGCTTAGGGTTCCTTTAAAGGGTTCCTTAAAGGGTTCTAGAAGGGCTACTAGGAGGGTTTAGGGTTTAGGTTTAGGGTTTAGGGTTTAGGGGCACTGGCTTTTAGGGTTTAGGGTTCCTTTAACGGGTTCCTTAAAGGGTTCTACAAGGGCTACTATGAGGGTTTAGGGTTTAGGTTTTGGGGTTTAGGGTTCAGGGCTTCAGGGTTTTGGGGTTTAGGGGCAGAAGATCCTTCAAAAGGAGGGTTTAGGGCTTCAGGGTTTTAAGGTTTAGGGGCAGAAGATCCTTCAAAAGGAGGATTTAGGGCTTCAGGGTTTTAGGGTTTAGGGCTTTAGGACTTTAGGGTTTAGGATTACAGAGCTTTAGGGCTTTAGGGTTTAGGATTACAGAGCTTTAGGGCTTTAGGGTTTGAGGGTTTTAGGGTTTTAGGGCTT